TATATAATATATATGCATGCATGCAGGGCAGTAGAGACACCATGTAGCTCAGTGTTATCTTCGTCGCACTCTCTTGGTGCGTCTGGTGGGGCCAATTCCTTCGAGGGGACAACAAACGGAGACAGTCGTAAAAGTGTCTCCTTTCTTTATGATAGTATATCTCCTCCTACACAATTCCGTGGTAAGAATATATACTTATTATTATTCTCCCTTTTTTTTTTCTTCCCTTTATTCCTCTAGTAATTATTATTATCCATCCATGCATGCATGCATCCATGCATGCATCCATCCATGCATGCATGCATCCATGCATGCAGCTGTATTCATGCATGCACGCTAACTGCCTACACACCACAAAATGCATGTAATATTACCTGCATGCGAACATAATACATGCATATATACATATATACATATATACATATATACATATATACATATATACATATATACATATATACATATATACATGTATACATATATACATGTATACATATATACATATATACATATATACATATATACATATATACATATATACATATATACATATATACATATATACATATATACATATATACATATATACATATATATACAAATATACATACGTATAAGTATATATGTATATAATTAATAATAAAGGAAAAGGAAGAGAAAAAATAAGACGGATAATAATTTGAAATTAATTTTCTATGTTCTTCAAAAACCCTAAACCCTAAACCCTAAACCCTAAACCCTAAACCCTAGAAAATATATATATGTATGCAGAGACTCCTGCTGATGGGCAAATAAGAAGAAATTGTGATTTTTATGATTTTCAAATATTTGAGGATTTATCTGTTGGAGACGAGAGGAGTCATCGTGTAAATGAATTCCTTAAATGTATGGCATTATGTAACACAGTTGTACCCCATTATAAGGCAAATAATAATACAGGAGGAGGAGGAGACACTTTTCTTCATACAGGGGCACTTGCACAGAGTTGGATAAGTGGTGTAACTCATAGTAGTGTTCTTGGTCGTTCTGTGGGTCCATTGGGGCCCCTAGGACCCTTGGGGCCCCTTGTTGGGGGACCCTTTGGTGGACTCAGTACACAAGGGGGGCCCCTACAAAAACCAAGTACTAGGGCTAGCAGCAGCAATGCAGCAGCAGCAGCAGCAGCAGCAAAAGATATTAATAATTCACAAAGTGCAGCAGACAGGTCTAATGCTAATGCTGACCCTCTATGGCACTCCGTGAGTACCCTATAGACGCAATGATATCCTGCTGCTTCTTACTGCTGCTTGCTGCTGATGTTTGCTGCTGCTGCTTGCTGCTGCTACCGTGTCTCTTGGCTTAAGGGGTACGGTGTCTGTGTCTCTTTGTTATATTTGTATATTTGTTTTGTAGTAGGGTTTGTTTGTCTCTTTTTTATTCTGTCTATAGGGATTATTAGGGTTTAGGGTTTAGGGTTTAGGGTTTAGGGTTTATGATTGTGTGCAGAATTCCTTTGCTCCTAATCTAACTCTTCTCTCTGGTAACTTAGATAACAATAGAGCAGAGGAGACAGAGACACCTCCGCAGCAACAAAGAGATATGCCATGGGGAGACACAGGAGACACCCCAGCACCTGCAGAACCCTTATCCAAGCTCGCAAAGAGACGTAAAAGTCTTGGCAGAGGTAATTTAGGGTTTAGGGTTTAGGGTTTAGGGTTTAGTGTTTAGATACCGCAGTCTAGTGTCCAGGATGCTGGGGCTTACGGTTTAAGGTTTAGGGTTCAGAGACTAGGTCATGGTCTGCCCTTATAGCTAGGGTTTAGGGTTTAGGGTTTAGGGTTTAGGGTTTGCATGCTGTTGTGTCTCCTTTTCTTATATTTAGGTGTCTCCTTTAAGGATACAACAGAGGAATATAATTTCCTTAAGGATGGGTAAGAGGACACATATAACAGCAGCAGCAGCAGCACAGCAGCAGCACCACACCCCCACCACCACCACCAGCAGCAGCAGCAACAGCAGCAGCAGCAGCAGCAGCAGCAGCAGGAGTTGCTGCGTGTCTGCTGCAGGGACGACTCGGAGGGGGAGGTGAATGGGCCAAGCCTTTCTTGTCTTTCCTCAACATCTAAGCGTAGTAAAGATTTTGCCTCTGCTGCTAGGGCCTCTTCTTCTAGGTAAGGATTTATTTATTTATTTATTTATTTATTTATTTATTTTATTTATTTATTTAATTTAGTTTATTTAATTTATTTATTTATTTATGTTTATTATTAATTAGGGATTCATTTAGTCCCTTCTTTTTGTGTTGTGTTTTTCTTGCAGATTCAGCAGGGTACGCATGCACTAATGCATGCATGCATGCATGTATGCATGCATGCATGCAAGGAAGCACGCATGCATGCGTGAATAAATGCATGCATGCATGCATGCATGATGAGTCACCATAGGTTTAGTGCCCTCCCTTGTTGCCATCTTAGGAGTCCTGCTTGTCCCTTCATCATCTAGATGCATGCACTGTCTCCATAATGATTTACCGCTAGGGTTTAGGGTTTAGGGTTTAGGGTTTAGGGTTGTGTGGTGAATGACTGCAGGACGAGACAGCGTCTCGACACTCACGAAGTACGTTGTCTCCATCGGAGGGTTTAGGGTTTAGGGTTTAGGGTTTAGGGTTTATATATACATATATAATATATAATTATAGATATAATACATCAAAATAAGCGCATGCATGTATACATATAGGTATAAATATACGTATAAATATAAATATATGTGTATATATACAGGCCGTGGTCCTTCCTTTGATGCTTACCGCCTATTAAGGAGTATAAAGTACCAAGCCTCCTCCCCTGATGAAGAATGTCTTGTCTCTGCTGCTAGTCATATGGGTTACTCTCTTGCATTCAGGAGCTCCTCTTCTGTTGTATTACAGGTAATTTATTTATTTATTTATTTATTTATTTATTTATTTATTTATTTATTTATTTATTTTATTTATATATTTATTTATTTAGTTATTTATTCTTTTTTTTCTTCTTTTTTTCCTTATTTTTTTTTTTATTTTTGTTTTTTTTGTTTTTTTGCTGTCTCCTTATTCCTTTTTTCCTTTAATTCCCTTTCCTTTTTTTTTTTTCTTTTTTTTTTTTCTTTTTTTTCTTTTTTCTGTAGATAAGTGCTAGGTGTTAATGAATGTAGTTATTTTTCTTTTTTTTTTTCTTTTTTTTTTGTGTATATAAATGATCAATTAAGGAGTTGGCAAGTTATTGGTATTAATGCATTTATTTATTTTTTTTTTTATTTTTTATTTTTTTTTTTTTTTTTTTTTTTTTTTTTTTTTTTTTTTTTTTTTTTTTTTTTTTTTTTTTTT